CGTGTCACGATAAACAAAATAATGTTTACTGGCTTAAAAGAGCAACATTAGCGTGTCACGATAAACAAAATAATGTTTACTGGCTTAAAAGAGCAACATGAGCGTGTCACGATAAACAAAATAATGTTTACTGGCTTAAAAGAGCAACATCAGTGTGTCACGATAAACAAAATAATGTTTACTGGCTTAAAAGAGCAACATCAGCGTGTCACGATAAACAAAATAATGTTTACTGGCTTTTTTAGTCTTTCTATTTGTGATAATGATGTTTGTTTTTTAACCTTCTTCTCAGGTAAAGAGGATCTCACGGATAAGATAGACTTCATAATTTGTCTGGGAGGAGATGGAACCCTATTATATGCTTCTTCTTTGTTCCAGGTGAGTGTCGGAACCAGTGTAATTTAAAAATATAATAAAATATTAACTGTGCCAAAAATAAAAACAATTAAGGTAGTTTGATTTTTGTTATTATTAGCCTCTTCGAGTATTTACCCATCAAACAAATTTGTGTCAAAAAGTTTGAAGTATTTATCTCTGTATCATGTTGCTCTTACAGCCAGTAAACATTATTTTGTTTATCGTGACACGCTGATGTTGCTCTTTTAAGCCAGTAAACATTATTTTGTTTATCGTGACACGCTGATGTTGCTCTTTTTAGTTTTTCCTGAGTAAAACTTGCAACTTAAAAACACTAGATGGTGTTTTATTTTTTACGAACTTGATTGTTAGTGGGGAATTAATCCGAGTCCTACTAGATCACCGTTTCACTTCGTATTGAAGAAGAAAGTTAATATAATAATAAAATATAAACAAAACCACAAACCAGTGATGAAAGACCAAGGTAAGGGAATGAGGTTATAAACATAACTAAAATTTAATCTCATTTTCTTCCTACCAACCACATATTCAAGACACAGATATCAAAACTGGAAATACCAGACTTAAAAAAAATAAAGTTTATTCAAAATATATAAATTCTCTTTTTACGTGTAATAATTCTTTAGCTAAAAAAAATTAATTAAAAAAAAACACAAATTAATAAATGATAAGATATACTTTAAGGCCTTAAAAATTACAAATCACTAATTAAGTAATTTAAAATCATAAAGAAATTCAAATTGTTAACCTAAGTTCTGAAAGGCACACGAAAGATATTCCATTTACCTTCTCTGAAGGTGCAAAGTTTATCTCTGAAGGGACTAAAGTAAGTGTTATTTCTCAGCTGCACATCTTCAAGTACGGATGCTTCTACGGACACAACCATTTGCTTATCCTACAAGAACATGAAACAAGTGTGCAGTTATCAACGGCTCCAAGCTTACACTAATGCCATGAAAACAGTTTTGCACATGTAATTTAGATATTTTATGTGCACATGCATGGAATGAGGAGGGGAGGGAGATTCACAGCTTGGTTGATACTGAAGTTGATGAGAAAAATGTAATAATGAAGACTTAACATGTTATGTGCACTCAAAAATTAACTCGAGATATGGTAAAAGGTAATAACAACAACAACAATACTAAATATGAAATTTACCAGGTACGGTACTACTGACCCTTTTACAATACACAAGTTCGTTAAACATATTTAATGCAGATTTTTTAATGAAATAAAATAAGACCCGTTTTAATCTCACAGGACATTAATATCATAGGATATTAATGTCATCTATTAAATAGCAATGTTCTTGTAGCTCGACCAACTGCACATGCATTATATACCTGTACGATACGTAGTTAAATTAAACAATGATGGAATGTAAAACTACACTGAAATCCTCACCCATAACCAGCATAATAATAATAATAATATGTATATATCACTATGCTTAGACTTTAATGTTAACTCCAGTTTTTATAACATATACTGTCTCAACTTACATAGATCAGCCAACTGACCAAATCTATAAAAGGCTGAATGACTGAAGTGTCCTGCACTTTCTTGATGACCAACACACTGAGGGGTGACTTATTCCAAGTTAACCTTTGGCTAGCAGGATCTTGAATAGTCCTAAAAGATCATTGAGAAGTAATAATAAGTAAACAGCAGTTGAAATTCTGCTAAAATAAATGTTTATAGGCACCACCTAACTTAAAACCTAACTTAGTGGAACGACCGCAGTCTACACAACGGCCATGGGATGTAGCTCTTAATGAAATGATCCAATAAGTTTGTTTTGTCAAATTTCACGTAAAGCTACTCGAGGGCTATCTACACTAGCTTTCCTTAATATTGAAGTGATAGACTAGAGGAAAGGGCAGCTAATCAACACCGCCAACTCTTGGTCTACTTTAAATGGAATTGCAGGGTTTTTACTATTATTCCTATAACGCATTCACGGCTCTCAAGTGCAAATGTGATTTGATAGAGGGGCAGTAAAAAGAGAGACAAACCATGAAACATCAAATCCACAATTCAGTAAGCTAAACACTCAGCTCAACAAATAGTAACTGACAAAATAAATAAAACAACTTTATAACAAGCAATATTACATGCTAACACTAATCGTTTACAACTCCACTAAAATCTTGAATTTAACTAATGGTGGATGATAAGAGTTGCAGACGGCTGTATTTTCTTACCATTATAAAGACACTAGCTAGGGTTATATCAAAATATACCTAGTCCGATTCATAGTCCTACCTTATTCCCAGGTAGATGGAGCCACACTCAATACAAATCAGGTATAATAATGGTTGGAGACGGCTTGAATGGGTAATGAAGAAAAATTTTAATATAAGCTTAACATAACAGCAAATGATGATGACAAAACC